TGAGAGAGAGAGTGTGTGTGTGTGTGAGAGACCAGCTTCATTATTTGAGATACAGATGCTATCTCAGACAGCAAGAGTTACACACTTTGATCTAGTTGATCCAAACTAGTCAGCAAACCAAAAGAGCATTTGACAGAAGTGCTGTAAAAGGAAAGCGTGCATTTAGAAGTAGTTTATTTTTTATGTTGCAAAATAAGGAGAGGTGGATGAAGAAGAACCTGCAGGAATATAAAAAGTAGTTTTCATCTTTTTAAACTGGCTACTGTTTATTTTTATTTTTTTCCTTTTTTAATAATTAAAGCTCCTTTAATGACTATTCTGATGTGGATAATTATTTTCTCATGTTTTTTCATTTGATATGAATATAAACTCAGAGCTGAACTGAGCAGTAAACCTGGATTACAATGTGATTGATTTTTTTTTTCCTCTGCAAAAACCAAACCAGTTTTTTTTTTAACACACATTTCTCATGGTACCATGATGTGTGCGAGTTTCTCTTGCCCCTTTTTCTCACTCTTTGGTTTTGCTGTGTTAAGAGGTTGTCTTGAAACTTCATCTTGCCTTGTCATTATGCTATGAAATAATAAATCTCTTGCTTTCATTGTTTAAACAAAGTGTTTCAGGCTTTTTGTCTTCGTGGAAGCTCATTTGAATGGATTTTCTGCTTCTGCTGAAGTAAATGTGAATAATGCTTTGTTTGCATTTCTGCATGGAAAAATACCAGTGTTTACAATGAAACAAACCTGTTAAAGTATCAGAAGAACACTGCACTTAAAATATTTACCCTTATGATATTATGTATTTCATGTTTAAGCGCGTGTAAATGTTCCTGATGTGTTTCAGGCGTTTGGCCAGAAAACTCCCTCTGCCCGTTGAGAACAAGGAAACCCGTCCTCGCATTGATTTAATAGTGTTTATAGTGAATCTGCTGTCAGAGCGCAGGTACACTGACCTCTCTCTCTCATGTCATTGACTGTGAGTGGACAGACTCTTATCTCTCTCTCTCTCTCTCTCTCTCTGTCAGTCTGCAGTCAGTGGAAAGCTCTCTCGCCCATCTGCACTCAGACTGCTTCCTGGGGAAAGTGTGTTTCTTGGTCACTGATGGTGAGTTGAGAGCCACTTTCAACAATTGTAAATGTGCGCACACTCATTTTTGTCTCATTACAGTTTTCCACAAAAAAGAAATGCAAAGTATTTGTGAAAATGCATTTATAGTCACATACACTCAATGTTGGGTGGGTTACTTTGGAAATGTAATAGGATACAGATAACAAATTACTCAGTTTGAAATGTAATAAGTAGTATAACTATTTCAATTACTTTATTAAAGTAATGTAACTGATTACTTTTCTAAATTTCTAACGAATGTTTTCAACTATTATTCATATTCAAACATGTAAACCAGGCAGGGTTAACCTTACAGTAGAGCTCAACACCGATTACCTTCATCACTTGAATTAAGATGATAATAATTAAATTTTAAAGCACAGCCAGCACAAAATCAGACTTTAGCACCTCTTTTCACTTTGAGATATTTCTGAGGAAAAATACAGATTAAAATCATAACAAGATGTAGCTTAATAGCTATGATACTGTTTTTGAAATCAAATCTTTGCATAGTTATGACAGGAAGCACTGGCATCTAACAATGCCTTGGAAAAACAAAACCGTTCATCTTAAAAAATAAAGCATACATAAACCCAAATAGAACATTAAAGTTATCAAATAAGCATGAGTCTTCCTGAAACATTGGTGTCTGATATTTTAGAGCAGTCACTGTAATTTGGGAAAGAAATCAGTCAAAATATTTAGACGTAACCCCCGTTAACATTTTCATAAGTAACTGTAATTTAATTACACATTGTTTCTCAGTAACTAACTAGTTACTCCCCAACACTGCACTCAGAAAAGCTGAAATAGGTTGCTTTTTATATTTTTATTTGTGTAGTTCATGACATCACACAATTCAGGGTTTTAATCTGTTTTCACATAAGTCCCATTTTGTAACAATGTAGCAAAATGGTAACATAAAATAAATGGTTCACATGTTATTTGGTTTGACCTCGAGATGGATGAGCAACATTTTCTGAAGGTCAAGCACCTTCTTTTGCTGATCATGTACTTAAATGGCATGAGTTTGAGTGTTGTGTCATATATACATATTACCATTTAAAAGTCTGGGCTCAGTAAGATTTTAATGTTTACAAAATAAGTCTTTTCTGCTGACCAGAGCTGCATTTATTTTATTAAAAACCGTAAAAATTGTGAAATATTATTACTATTTAAAGTCACTAATTTCTATGTAAATGTATAGTAAAATATTATTTATTTCTGTGATCAAAGCTGAATTTTCAGCATCACACACACACACGGTCACCTCAGGCAGATGTGTGTTACGGCGCGTTACTCTCTCTGTCTCTCAGACGGCAGATGGCGTGAATGCAGCAGCCGTGCGGCTCCAGAACATCTTGACGGTGTCGGCGGGAATGTCGCCCATAGCAACCACCGCCCTCTATCTGTCCTCTCTGACCCGCTGCTCGGTGACCTCTGACCTTGAAGAGGACTGACCTCCAATAGGATCAATTAAGAACTACATTAAGACTTGATTCATTACTTTGAATTTCCACACAGGTAACACAAGTTGCAGATAATCACACTGGACTGCAGATTAGTTCACTGTTATTTTCACATCACTGTCCATGAAATGTACCTTGCCATGGGACTTTATTAAATACTGTGTGTTTTCATGGCTGCCCAACGTTCATATTCAGCTCTTGTAATGAATTAACACATCCAAATCAGCAGGGGGAGCCATTGGGTAGCGAAGGAATCGCTTAGAACATATTCCCCAAATAATTATCCTTTTACAATATTTATAAATACAATAATTGAATTTTTATTGAAATGAATTTCATTTCTTACATATATTTACTACAATACTAGTAAAAAGTTTGGATGTACTTGGTGAGCTTACTATTATTATTATTATTATTATTAATATTCCCATGTTTTCCCAGTTTTAATGGCTTAACTATTGTTATAAAATAAAAAAGAATGAGTAAATAAGTCAGAAATTGACTGGTACTGAACCTATAAATCAATATTGTTCTTGCCCTAAAATATCTTAATACCCAATAATTATGTTAGTAAAAACATATTTACTATAATATGTGTCTTGGAGCATTTTTCCTGATTTTTTTGATGGCTAAAAAAGTTAAGCAATGATTTGTGAGATTAAATGTGTCTAATCCAGTGTTATTGTAGATACTATTATAGTTTCTATTAATTGTTTGAATTAGTTTTTTTTTTTCTTCTTCTGTTTTCATCTTAATTTTAGATAAAGTTTTAGTCATTTTGTTGTGTGTTTTAATCGTTTTTTTAGTTTTAGTTTTTTAATGCGTACATAGTTTTGATTCATTTTTATTTCAGTTTTAGTTATTTTAGTAAGTTAAAAATGGGAAATATTTCTCTGGCAATATAAGTTTATATCAAAATATGTTTATTCCATTTTTATATATATATAATAAATTTATATATTTTATAAAATTTCAGTTGCTGTTTATTTATGGTTTTAGTTTTTGTTAACTTCTCTTTTTGGTGCACTACAGTAACCTCATCCCAGAATCCTATTATTCCCCCTCGAATCTTTTGCGTTTCTATGACAACCTCACCTGTTGCAAACCAATCCTATCGGTAACCCGAGTCCTGAATAATGGACGTTCTTTGCAAAGAAATGACAAAAAGGCTTTCTGGCATCTTACCTGTGCTCTCTCTCACTCGCCCAACCTTTCCGTTGGCTCCCTCGTGACTGACCTCATTCGACAATCTCTTCGCTGACCACTTCACACACGGTCACAGTCCAGATATCCTCTAACCCCACAGACACACAGAGAGCCTCGACTGTCACGAAGAGGCCATCGCGGTCTAATTTTAGAGTCTTTTTATTGTTCTTGTAATGGACACTTTTGATGGCGCTCATGAATTGGGCTTGAACCTACAAGCTTTGGGAAAAACGTTCTGTATTTGGCTTTAACTATAAAAGTCATTAAAGTTCCAAATTATAGGTCTGTTATTCTCATGAGGTCACAGACTGAGACGCCGCTTCAGTTCATTCTCAGTGGCTTTGTGTCATATTGTTCCATGATCTGCTCTGCTGGCGTCCATTAGAGTCCTTCACAAACACATCTACAGTGCAGCCGTCCCTCCAGAGACCTGCCTTTGTCCCACTCGACATTCTGTTACTGAATAATGCAGCGAGTGTGTGTGTGTGTGTTCACATGCTGAGAGACTGGCAGAACTGGATGGCAGTGGATGCGTTTCTACCTGCACGTACCACTTTCACACACATTCCTGGCCTTATTTATGGCCAGGTAAAGTGTGTGTTTGCTAAATGAAGCATCACTACTAGTATTGCTCATAGTTACTGATCTGAACCAACCCCTGCCAGTAAGTGTCACCTGAAATCACATGTCTTGGTGAGGAAAGATGTCATTTTGGGTGAAGCTGCTTAAATTGTATTAAAATGCAATGTATATTGTCAAAAGCATTACACAAGTTCCTGTGTCTAAAATGTCAGAGTCCAAATTAATTCGCAGTCTGAGTCCAAGTACCTCAACTCTAAAAATTGACTTGACATTCGGAGCACCTGGTAACTGCAAAGCAACACCCTAGAAACCATCCAGAAAATGCATAACAATGTGTTAAAAAAATCCATGCCAAAAATTCTAGCAATGACATAGCAGTATGTTAAACACCACTTGGAACACCTGGCAACTGCATAGCAACACCCTAGCAACAAGTACACTCTAACAACCATGTAGAAACATTAAAAACCACTTAGAATACCTGGCAACTACATAGCAACGCCCTAGCAACTATGTAAAAACATGTTAAAAACCGCTTAGAACATCTGGCAACTGCACAGGAATGCCCTAGCAACCACAAAACTCTACAAAACATGTAGAAACATGTTAAAAACCACTTAGAACACCCAGCAATTGCATAGCAATGCCCTAGCAACCAGCAAACTCTAGCAACCATGTAAAAACATTAAAAACCGATTCGATCACCTGGCAACTGCATAGCAACGCCGTAGCAACCATGTAAAAACATGTTAAAAACCACTTAGAACACCTGGCAACTGCAAAGGAATGCCCTAGCAACCAGCAATCGCTAGCAACCATCTATCAACATGGTAAAAAAAACACTTAGAACACCTGGCAACTGCATATGAGTGCCCTAGCAACCATAAAACTCTAGAAAACATGTAGAAACATGTTAAAACCAGTCTGAGCAACCAGCAAACGCTAGCAACCATGTAAAAATGTCACAAAACCGCTAAGAACGCCTGGCAACTAGATAGAAACGCCCTAGCAACCAGCAAACTCTAGCAACCATCTAGCAACATGTTAAAAACAGCTCAGAAAACTTAGCAACATCTTATCAATGCTATAGCAACAACCCATAAAAAACTGAGTAACTGCACAACAATGTGCTGAAAACCTATTAGAGCACCTTAAATCTACATAGCAACACCCTGGCAACCACCTAGCACCGCTCTAGTATTGTGACGGTGAGATTAGCATGATTAGGAACGCATATCATTTCTTATTTCAGTGTTTCTGTGTGTTTTGAGAGTACGTGATCATCATCACGTTTTGACTGATTATCATCACATGCCTGCGTTATAATGACACAAGCCTCATTCTGAGCTGGTTGTGAGCTTGAATGGAGAGTCTTTGTGTCAGACGGACTCTCTGGAGAGCTCCAGATATCTCAGCTTTCCTGCCCTGCCTCTTCCTCTCACAGTAGATAATACAGGATGACACTGAGCTTCCTTACAAACACACACACACACACACACACGCATTCAGTCAGGAGATGGTCAGAAAGTGCTCAGAAACCAGATGCTCTCTTCCAGCAGACCTGCAGAACAATGCTGGCATTGAGAGGAGAAACGCATTAAACCACCGCTTGATTCTAGAGCTCAGAGGAAAGTCTCGATGCTCAGAAGTCACTCTTTTATTGCTCAGGAGACTTTGTTTGACTATTAATTTGATGTTTCTCTTAGAATTTCTTTCGATAGAAAAACTCAAATGGGTTTTAGATACCACAGAACTGCAAAAATCATCCTCATCATCCCCTATCCTACAATTTAAAAGGCTGCTATATATTTTCATAAATAAAAGCCCAATTGACACGGGGAAAAATTATAGTATGAATATGTATAAAATATTATTTGGTAGTACTTTTTAAATGTATTAATTTTTCATTATTTGTTTAATAATTTCTTTTAATTTTTTTATCTGTTTGTCATTATTTATTTATTTGAATCTTTTATTTATTTTAAACTTTTTTTTTAATTTTAATCTAATTTTACTTATTTGTTTTAATCTCATTTTTTATTTATCTTAATCTGCTTTTATTTGTATTTGATTTTTAATTAATAATTTTAATCCATTTTTAGTTTAGTATATTGTGTATTTTTATTTTAAGAAACTTTTTATTTATTTTGATCTATGTTTTATTTATTATTATTGTTATTTATTTTTTTAACAAATGTATTATTTTTTAAAACAAATATTTCCACAGGCCCAATCACTCCATTTATTTATTTATTTAAAAATCTTTTTTAAACAAATATTTCCACAGACCCAATCACTCCATTTATTTATTTATTTATTTTAAACAAATACATTACTCCACTGCGGCCCGCTGTGAGTCCCCGAGCCCTAGTTTGAAAAGCCGGCTAGCAAAGAAAAGGGAAATCATCGAAGTAAAAAAACTCAAGTCTCCATTCATTCTCCTTTCAATCTTGTTGCTTTCTAGGAGAAACTGGGATATTGGAGCTCAGGCTGATATGCTTTATATGTCAGCTATCTCGTGTGCGTGTGTGATATCATGTGGAGCTTTTGGATATGAGGTCAGGTCTCCAAACACTCGACTACGTGACAACTAAAGGAAGGCAGAGAGAGACCGAGTCAGACAGAGAGAGAGAGGGAGAGTAACTGTTGCCATGTCTGGTGTGACAGAGACAAACCCCCCGGGAGAACTTAACACATGCTCATGACATGACTTAACACAACTGTAAAAAGCAAATGGCAGTCGCGGAACAGGAAACCTCTGTGGCTTCAGTCACGTCCACAGATGTCCTGGAATGAGATTTGTGAGGGATGGAAAAGCACGAGTGGCCGTGACCTCGAGCGTGTGCGTTTGTGCACGGCTGCAGATCAGCCTGCAGTTTTCTGAGGATAAAGATTTCTAAGAAATACCGGCCAACGGAAGAACGTAAACAAGAGGTCGAGGTTTAGCAAAGAGTAAGGGTCACAATGTCATAAATAAAGCTCATTCCAGACCCAGATCAGGCCAGATGAGTTTAGCATGTGATTGCACAGCAGCTTAGAATAAAGCACTTGTCAAATGGACCGTAAACGCATGCAGGCGTGAACCTTCAGATGATTATGAACCGCAAAACAGCCCAACCGCAGTCATACTGCAGCCATAATTCATCTAATATTTTGAATAAATATATATACAGAGCTGGGCAGTAATTGATAACATGTAATCATTATGTAATCAGATTCCAAAAATTAACTTGTGATTAGATTAAATTACAGTTACTTTTATATTAACTACATGATTACATATTATTCACACAATAGCAATAAATTATTCCTAATAATATTGATTTCCCCTAATTCCTCTTTTTCGTCTTTTAAATTTTCCTTTCTAAAATAGCCTGCCACTTATATACACTCAAAGTCTTGAGTTTTGTGGACATTCACACAGAGACCAGTCACTAGTCAGGTGCTAAATCATTTCAGGTTTAAGAAGTATTTTAACACTGCATGAACTACTGATGAACACATTAATTTTCATTTAAATTATCAGGTTATTCAACAATGTATTTCTATGTCTTTGGAAGGCTTTTGTCTTTCAAACACATTAAATGCACAAATTCACAAACTTTTTTTATCATCTGATCCTCTTTTACATAATATATTTTTATTTGGAGTACCCCTGAGATCATTTAAAATTAATAATTTAATAATTGAATATCACATTTGCATGTTCACAGTTCTCTGATGTTGGTTATGGCCACATGACATGCAGGTAAACAAATAAAATATTTCATTTAACATTTTTATGATTTAATTCATTATTAGCTTCTCATTAAATTCATAAACCCTCTGCAGTTTCTTCACAAACCTAATTCGGGAAACCTTGACGTAGTATAATGTTTAATGCACTTCATGTTGTTAATAACAATGAATGGAATATATTTCTGTCTTTGTATTTTTATATCAATATGGTACAATATTATCATATTTAAATCAATGTGATAAACAAGTTAGGACAAAAGTAATCTGATTATATTACTTAAAATGTGTATTATAATGGATTACGTTACTAATTACAATTTTTGTCATGTAATTTGGAATCAATAACCGATTACAATTTGTAAGTAATCTACCCATCTCTCTTTGTGTGTGTGTATATATATACATATATATACAGTGGTGTGAAAAAGTGTTGGCCCCCTTCCTGATTTCTTATTTTTTTGCATGTTTGTCACACTTTAATGTTTCAGATCATCAAACAAATTTAAATATTAGTCAAAGATAACACAAGTAAGTACAACATGCAGTTTTAAATGAAGGTTTTTATTATTAAGGGAAAACAAAACCCAAAACTACATGGCCCTGTGTGAAAAAAGTGTTTGCCACTAATATTTAAATTAGTTTGATGATCTGAAACATTAAAGTGTGACAAACATGCAAAAAAAATAAGAAATCAGGAAGGGGGCCAACACTTTTTCACACCACTGTATATATTAAATCAGCTGTGACAAACCTTTAAATTAGATTTTTTTTTTTTTTGCTATTTTAGTCCTATTATATTTATAGAAATAATGTCATTCACTTATGAGGTGATTTTGTGATTTATGAGGTAATAGTTCAGTTAGATTTCCTAGTTTACCCCTTTGAATTGAAAAACGTTCAAATATAATTTAGTTTAGTTTATTTTATTTACTGTTTTTGTGTGTTTATAATAATTCAGCAAATAGTGAGTGACAAAGGTGAGGTTTTTACTGCATGAATGACAAATAAAGACACAATTCAGTTTTTCAGCAGATAAAAGCGACGTTTATTAATAAGTGTTGCTAAACCAAAGCGAAGCAAATGATTTGTAACGCAAGTTAATAATAGTAAGACAAAGCAAGTGTAGAGAAACAAATATCTATGGCCTTTCAAAATAATAGAGGCGTCATTAGAATTAAACAATTTCGATCGTCATTTTCTCCCAAACTTAAATTATTTTATTAATGTGCAATCGCTCGAGTGCAATTCGGATGAAGTTTAGTCCTAATCTGAGGCTCCTTCTGAGACCCTAACGCACCTACAGTCAGTCATGACATCATCAGATCAGCTGACGCTCTAAACCTGACGTGATTGGCTCGTTCCAAGGCACATTTACCTTAATCCAGTGTTGGGCTAGTTACACAAAGAATGTAATATATTACTCATTACTAGTTACTCCTTTCAAAAGTAATACTGTACTTATTACTTTCTGGCAACAGTAATTAGTTACACTACTAGTTACATTACTTTTTCTTCACGCCCCACAGAAGTTGTAACTGCTAATTTTCCAAAAAGATTTTTAATTATATTAATATAATGTACCACATGTTGATCAGAGGGATGCCAGAGTAAAGTAAAGCCACAACTTACACAACAGTGTTCAGATCATCTTTTTTTTCCTGACAAAATCAATACAATGCAATATTTCTATCTGCTGAATGTAAGCTTTTCTAGTTACTGCAAAAAGTAATATTATTACAGTAACTAAGTTACTAGTAACTAGTTACTGCCCAACACTGCCTTAATCAGGACAGGCGCCATCTTGGATCTAACGCAGATGAAAACGAGGCTGCGCGGGATAGACTGCAAGGTCCTAGATCACGTGATTTTCAACAACTTTCAAAACTCTTTATTACATTTTTGTCTAGAGAAAGTTGTATTGAGTTTCGTCAGCTGAACAATCAGTGTGTTGTCAACAGTACAGTCCAGTGAACGCGCTGTAATTACTTCAGTTCCAGCCTCGTTTTCATTCCCGTCAAAATGAAACATGGTGCTTGTCCTGATTAACAGTTGCATGTTTATTTGGGTTTTAGACATGATTTGTTCTCTGCGGATAGTTTTTAATCGTATTAGCTGTAGCAGTAATTTCTACTGACTAATGCATGAGCAAGACAAGCGTTGTTTCTGTGATGCCGCTGAGTTCGTGACGCTCAGCGTGTCATTTAACCGGCGAATCCGATCTCCTTGTAGTAAGCGTCGATGTCTCCGATCACGGCCTCCATGACTCTCCTGAGCGCGCTCTGTCCGGCCGCGTCCAGACCCGCCTTCTCCGCCATCACCTTCACCAGCACCTCCGTGATCAGCTGAACACACACACACACACACATTAACTGCGTCCCAAATGGCGCACTATACACTACGCACTTATGCACTATGTACTCAACCATGTAGTGTATGAACTTTATAAGGTTATTGTGTCATTAATAATTGGAATCTGATAGCCCCTCCCCTTGTGCTACGTAATTAAAGCTGCTACAGTTGAGTGCATGAAGTCAAAGCCACTAGAAGGCAAGCCTGCAACCTTTAGCCAAAAAAAGCATAACGGCTAATGTTCACCCTTCTGCTTTGGCAGTACGTGGGAAAGGAGACCAGAGGCCGTTTTTTTATGAATGGATGTCAATGGAGGAGAGGCTTCACTACGCTGAATAAACAGCTTTTTAGAGGAAACGGCTTATTTAATGAATCGATAATCTATCTGATAATCTTCAACATGTTTTACACTAAACAATACTATTAGATTGAACTATTTTTAGAGTTTTAAAATTAAAATCAACTGTGAAATCTACTGTTTTAATTCTTGTACTATTATTTTTTTTTATAGAAATGATGCACAGCATTTCTCTATAATGAAATATAACTTTTACAATGAAATAAAAGTTTTAAGTTATATTACTTACCTTCCTTTTTTATGATGTATATGGATAGTTTCATGATTATAAAAAATATTATTTAGATATATAATATACAACATTCAAAACCAGTCACTTATGAGGTGAGCTATAGTAAGAATTTTTTACTTTTGTTAAGTTTCATTTTGTCTATTTTGCAACAAAGTATGGAAGTAAATTAAAATTAAACAATATATAATAACCTAACATTCTGCTATTTCATTTCTTATATATATATATATATATATATATATATACTGTATATATGGAGCTCCTTACCGATATCAGCGTCCTCTCTGAAGAGCGTGTGACTGGTTTGGAAAACTCCCCAAATGAGCTCAGATCATCACTTTTTCCCCACTTTCACCTTTTATACAGCGTCCTTGTGATGTCTTGAAATGTTAACCCCACCCCTCTGTTTGCCCCACCAGCACACACACACACACACACACACACACACATGGAGAACGGATCTGTGACAGAAGCCATTTGAGATGCTCACTGTATTATTCCACAGCAGCTGCATTGCTGCACAACACACAGATGCCCACCTGCACAACTATATTCACTTTAAAAGTAATTTTGAGATGTGCCAGGTGTTTGTTTTCTAGTTTTACTGCTTTCACAGCATCATCACTCCCACTTTGTCATGCTCTTCTAGTGGAAAAACAGATGAGGCGTCTCTGGGTTTGATTTGGGGAGAATGGATGAGCGTTTGAAGGCTTTACAGGAGCGTTGGGCTCAGGAAAACAAAACAATGACCGACACGTGTGCAAACAAACACAGGAAAACGCCACTTAACCTCAATCCCCATGCTTTTTATATATAAAATATGAACAATAAAGCAATAAAAGCAACACAGCCCTGTCTTTGGCCATATCTGTCCTAGCACTCATTGTCTGTCTGCTGCAGTCACCAGACAGGTGTATTAATAGCATTTGTATGGTTGGGGAACGTGTGTGTGTGTGTGTGTGTATTTGGATAAGAGATAAGCCATTCCCCTCCATTCGGACTGGTTCAAAGACGGGTCAAGATCAGCGTCCACTGCCAAACTAACAAAACCTGGCAGAAATGAGAGGAGCTAAATACGTTGGTACCAACTCTGAACTTCAAACACTTTCCATGAGATAAAGATAGTCAAACAGTTGTGCTTCAGTCACCAAGAGAAAGAAAAAGAGAGAAAATGTGCTCTGCCATAAGACAGTCTTTGTCAACTCGCTGACCTTATAGTTAATGTTAATGATGACAGACAGATGCACGCAGTGATCCGGGACAGAGTAATGTTTTTGACCATGTTTTTGACTTGATTTTAGCGCCATCTAGAGAACAAAAACTGCTAACGTGCTTCAGTTTGTACATTTTGTGAAGTGCCGCGTAGTCGATTTAAAGTTTAAAAGTACATTTTGACGGAAAGTGTTGCGTTAAGAAGCGTAGTTGTATATTAGTAGGCATGCAGATCCAGTGCTGATCGACTAAAAGTCATTTAAGAGCCAAACAAAAATGTTTAAATAAACTTTTTTTCCGATTTCTGGCAAAATACAAGTCGTTTGGGAAACGTTCCAAAATCGTCCTTCCAAATAAACTCCATAATATGCTATATATAATTAAATATTTTCGGAAAATGTGTGTTTAGAAATATACAATGTAAATAATATATTAGGACATCTTTTAATTATTATGAAAGAAGAATTCAACACAATCGTGTGTCTTCAGTTATTGGTCTGTCAGGACTTTTATTTTGGCGCGTCGTGCAGCGAAAGTGACGCGTCTCTTATTATTCAAGCTTCACTAGCAGCGAGTGGCCATTTTTTTTTAATGTGCGTCCGGATCCCGCTTCCGTTCATTTCTCTCCTAAAACCGCTTTTAACACCGATTAATAACGGATATCACCGGCAAACGAGCCTCGAACTTTAATCGCCTTCATCGCAGAGAAGAAAACGACAGATAATTTGAGAGTCTTCGTCATCATGAATCCTGAATAGTAAGTTTGTGTAGCGTGTCATTAACTATAATCAACGATGTTATGTTATTATTCGTTTTTTTCACCTCATTTGCTGTGTTTCTTTATCAGTAACGTTATATATATAATGACACATCACCTGCTTCATTATTATTCACACAAATCATTACCGCGTCAGTAAACAAAATATTTACTTGAAGTATTGTGGTTAATTTATTACTAACGTTACATGCTGTGCCTCTTTAACGAGATCGACCAACTGGGAGTCGTTTCGATTTGGTTTAAAAGTAAGTACTTGTATAAATATTTTTCAAATAAGGGTGTATACAATAACTGTCAGTCTGTTTCTGTGAGTGCCACGTCGTAAGAATGAAACTGAAGAAACCGTCTGCGTAACTACTCATCTTATCGTGTTTATAATGAAACAAAACCATCCTCAGGCTTATTAATCTGCTGTCAGAGAGCTGGTCATATACTGTCACTCCTGTGGTGATGAAATGTGATCTTAGGCCTGAACTTACTGACATCCTGACTGAGTTTATGACATGTTGAGCTTTGTTTCAGGGGCTGTTGGGTAATCAAGTCACCTGTTGCCACACCACTCTTTCAAAACCTGTGGTTTTACCATGGTACGGTGATGCCAATACCGTGGTATTGAAAGACTGCTATATCATGTGAACCTGTCATACACACAATTCAAATCAAAATCAGAAGAAAACTGTCTTTGCATCATGGCATGGTCTACTTTTTTTGTATCATGCAAAATGTATTTCTTGTTGATTTTGGGGTCAAATATGAGCCTGAGATGTGATATTCCTCCATTTCCTCCCATTATTTGATGGCGCTCACGTGATCATTGAGACATGATGACACACACATGTTGCGTAATGTGATTCCCACTTCCACCGCTGACTGCAGGCGTAGGTGATGGATGCATCAGTCGTCCTGTGGTTTGTCTTTCAGTGATTACCTGTTCAAGCTCCTGCTGATCGGAGACTCGGGCGTGGGGAAGTCCTGTCTTCTGCTGCGTTTTGCTGTAAGTTATTGGCCTGCCATTAAGATGCCGTTTACACACACGGGATCAGATAATGCCTCTTGTTGCGCAGGTGATTTGACTGTCAAAGAGCTCCACGCTGAAGGTGAAGGAAGGATGTCGTTTCGTTTCTGCAGCTGCAGTCGGACTGAAAACGCTTACTTTTGTCATTCTTTTTAGTGCATGTGTATGAAAACGATCCATTGCTGAATGCCTCATCTGTGATTGTGTGTGCATTTCCTCAGGACGACACGTATACAGAGAGCTACATCAGCACGATCGGAGTGGACTTCAAAATCAGGACGATAGAGCTCGACGGAAAGACCATCAAACTACAGATCGTAAGTGCGCTCCACGTTAACGCCGGAAACGGCACGCAAGCTTGATTTTATGCATTGTTTCAGCATGCAAAAACATATGTGACCCTGGAGCACAAAAGCAGTCTTAAGTCGCTGGGGTATATTTGTAGCAATAGCCAAAAATACATTGTATGGGTCAAAATTAGTGATTTTTCTTTTATGCCAAAAATCATTAGGATATTAAGTAAAGATCATGTTCCATGAAGATATTTTGTAAATTTCCTACCGTAAATATATAAAAACTTAATTTCTCAGATTCCAGATTTTCAAATAATTGTATCTCAGCCAAATATTGTCCCATCCTAACACACCATACATCAATGGAAAGCTTATTTATTCCGCTCTCAGTTTAAAAAAAATGGACCCTTATGACTGGCTTAGTGGTCCAGGGTCACATATTAATTACATTACTTTCTTTTAAATTTTGGATCTGTTTTAAATGTTTTTGGAAGTCTCTTCCGCTCACCAAAGCTGCATTTATTTGATAAAAAATATAGTGAAATATTATTGCCATTTAAAATGACAGTTTTCTGTCTGAATATATTGTAAAATGTAATTTATTTCTGTGATCAAAGCTGAATTTTCAGCATCATTACTCCAGTCTTCAGTGTCACATGATCTTCAGAAATCAGTCTAATATGCTCATTTGCTGCTCAAGAAACATTTCTGATTATCAAACAGATTTCGCTTCATGTTTTTGTGGAAACCGTGATGCGTTTTATTTTTCAGGTTTCTTTGATGAATAGAAAGTTCAAAGGAACAGCAGTTATTTGAAATAGAAATCTTCTGTAAACATCTTTACTGTCACTTTTGGTCGATTTAAAGCATGCTTTCAATTTTTTTAAAAGAGCATTTTTGCATAAGTCAGTGCTGAATGTGTGTTGTGTTGTCAGTGGGACACGGCCGGCCAGGAGCGGTTTCGCACCATCACGTCCAGCTACTACAGAGGAGCTCACGGGATCATCGTTGTTTACGATGTCACGGATCAGGTGACCAAACATTCCTTTAGTATGACCTTTCACAAACACTTCTGTGTTCAGTGCTGTTTTAATGTGTTTCCTCAGGAGTCCTTCAACAACGTCAAACAGTGGCTTCAGGAGATCGATCGCTACGCTAGTGAAAACGTCAACAAGCTCCTGGTGGGAAACAAGTGTGATCTGACCACTAAGAAAGTTGTGGAATACACGGCAGCGAAGGTACAAGATCTGTCTCGTGAACAGAACACTACGTTCACCAAAATCTTAACACCATTCACTGGATGACGTCTCCCACAGCGCAGCAAAACTAAAGACTGGCTGATTAATATTTTACATAATTAAGAATTAATTAAGTTATGATTTATTATTATTTGTTAAACTATAAATCACTATAGTTAGTCATTTCTAAGTTATTTGTTGTTGTTTTTTAATCCTTTTCTAGTTGCAAACTGAGAGAATAGCTGATTAATTATTTAAATGTATTGATTATTTTTTATTTTTTAATTAATAATAAAGACTGGCTGATTAAATGCACATATTATTATTTATTGTTAATCAATAAATAATGAATAATTTTAAATGTTTTTTTTTTGTTTGTTTTTTTCGTTTCCTGGTTGAAACCCCAAAGACTGGCTGAGTAATGATTTAAATAGTAACTAATTATTTAAACTATTATTTTATATTAATTATTAAATAATAAACTAATTATAATTAATAATGTATGTGAAAAAAAAAAACTTTCCTGATTGCAGACTGTGAGAATAGCTGATTATTTAAATTTAGGTTTATTATAATGTTTTAAAATAATAAGTTATTACAATTAATAATGTATCCGTAATCCGTAAATAAAAAAAACTTTCCTTGTTGTAACACAAAAGACTGGCTGATTAATAGGCTAAATAATTAACAATTATTTAAATATTTATTACTAAACATTAAATAAATAAATAATTTATCGTTTAAGTGACGTGACATGTGGCCAAGTATGGTGACCCATACTAGGAATTAGTGCTCTGCATTTATCCCATCCTTAGTGCACACACACAGCAGTGAACACACACACACCGTGAACACACACCCGGAGCAGTGGGCAGCCATTTTTATGCTGCGGCGCCCGGGGAGCAGTTGGGGGTTCGGTGCCTTGCTCAAGGGCACCTCAGTCGTGGTATTGAAGGTGGAAGACTACATTCACTCCCTGCCGGCGTTTTTAGACCGGACCTGAGACTTGAACTCGCAACCTTTGGGTTGAGAGTCCGACTCTCTAACCATTAGGCCACGACTTCCCCGTTTATGAATAATTTATTATTTAAAAAGCTTTTCTTGCAAACCAAAAGTATCATTTTATCATTATTAATTGTGAAATAATGAATAAATAGATATTTTTGAAATAATAATTGAATATTTTAATTGTTTAAAATTGTTAATGTGACATGTTAACATGTCAACATAAATAAAACCTTTTTTTTTTTTTTTTTGCGTTTTAGCTGTTGATTTTCACGACAATGGTGTTTTGGGGGTCTGAAAACTTTTGAAAATGGATTTCAAAGTGCAAGTTGTGAAAATGATACCGTCAACATGAATTTGTGGAAACTGTGACGTCATGCACGTGCTTATTAAGTGTTCAGTCTATAGGCTTGTGCACATATGCGTAGTGTTGCTTTACAAAGTAACATCGCCAACTACTGGCCTGGAATGCATTATACAGCGTTCTTAGTAGTTTTTCATGGATCCGTGTGAACAGGCATTGTTTTGATAACATTGTTGTCTGTAAATGAAAACATTTTTGTTTTTAGTACATCGCTGTGACGACTAAACTAAACACTGTGTTTGAGATCAGTCTGTTGTTTTCTGTCTTGCAGGAGTTTGCGGACTCTCTCAGCATCCCGTTCCTGGAGACGAGCGCGAAGAGCTCCAGTAATGTGGAACAGGCCTTCATGACCATGGCGGCGGAGATCAAGAGGAGAATGGGCCCCGGGGCCACCGCGGGAGGCCCCGAGAAATCCAACGTCAAGATTCAGAGCACGCCGGTCAAGACGTCCTCCGGAGGATGCTGCTGAGACCCAGCGACAGTAACGTTACCAACCGTACGCCACAGCTGAGTTAGCAGGAAGTGAGTGTGTGTGTGTGTGTGAGAGAGAGAGTGTATGTGCAATAAAGACTGAGAATATTAAAGAAAAGGAGAGTAAGAGAGGATCAAATTAAACATTGCCTGATATTGAATCATGCATGCACATGGATGCATGACCAGGCAAACACGCGTCCAACTGTCTGCCGGCTTAACGGCTCAAATTCCGTCCGCTCTTTAGACAAGCATCCAAAAGCACTTCCGGATGCCGGCGTTTTTAGAGGAGCGCCACCAGGTTTGGCTTTGAACTTCCTCTTTGGAACTTTGAAGGAAGCGGTGGACTGTGATGTCATAACTGACCTCGGAACAGTGGGTTCCGTTACTATGGCTCCCAGTGATGTTGCTACGGCGACCTCTCCTTCTCTCTCGTTTGGTGGACCGTTTGCCTGTTTGGCCATTTCTTCTGTTTTGTTTTTTATCTGTGCTCTGCAGCATTTCAGTGGTCCTCTGAGCGTGACCAACGCGACACTTACAATGAGCTAGTCATGTTTCTGACCTGTGCTAGTTGTTTGCCACATTTCTAACCGCATTATCATCCTGTGCAATTTTTTTGTGGTATAATCGAGAACCGAATCCTGGGCCGCTGTCGTCGTTTACTCTCCCTCAGGTTGTTCCACAGCTGTATGAGTTTCTTTCTTCTGTTGATCACAAAAGATGTTGGTTATTTAGTTGTGATATTTAGTTGCCGGTAGCCATTCACTTCCATAGTGTGGGAAAAAAAATACTGTGGAAGTCAATGGATACCGGCAACTATTTGGTTCTCAACCGTTTTCAAAATATCTTCTTTCGTGTTCAACAGAAGAAAGAAACTCTGACAGGTTTCGTACAACATCAGGGTGAAGAAATTATGAACTATGCCTTTAAATGTCTATATTATCAATTAGTTATTATTTCTCTTAATTCGTTTTGATGCTTATACATCATGTATATTATATGGAAGCTTGTTTTTGTATCCATGGGATAAAAAAAAAAAACGGTAAGTGCAACTTTTTACCTCAAAATTCTGACTTTTTTAAACTCTCGACTTTTTTCTCTCAATTACGAGAAAATTGAAATATAATGTCAGAATTGCAATTTATAAATTCTGTTTCTTGCAAGATTATAAGTCATAATTACTTTTTTTTTATTTATTTTTTTATTCTGTGGCGGAAACAAACAAAAAAATTAGAATTGTGAGATGTAAAGTCAGAATTCCGAGAAAAAAGTCAGTTTTTTTTTTTTTGTCGCAATTCTTAAAGAAAGTCTGAATTGCGAGATCAAAAGTCGCAATCGTGTTGGAAACAAGCTTCCGTAATTTCCTGTATGTTGGACTCGGTGTTTGTTTACTGACCGCACAAGAGCAGCGTCACTGTAACAGGCGCTATAGCAGATCTATGTATAAATGTATCTATATAAATCCCATAGATAAACAGGAAATGACATCACAATAGATAAAGCAACATTGCTTATGTAACTTTTTGTTTTCAGGGAGAAAATGCTCTTTTGCTCCTGTTGTGTTTGTTTTCTTTTCTTTTCTTTTACGTCACACGATGTTTAAATAAACTATGAAGGAATAAAAGTTGAATAAAAATGGTTTTAACTGGAGTGTTTGGTGACATGTTTGATGTGTTCCATCATAAAGCAGCCTGTCACAGATTTGGCTCATTGTTTCCAGTGGGTGGCGTCAGATGTGTTCAGACTGGCTGGAGTTTGAGAGTCATCACTGCTCTTCACATTATCTACTTAGTTACATACACTAATGTTCTTTTTTCTTTTTTTTTTTAAGAAATTAATACTTTTATTCAGCAAGGATGCATTAAAGTGACAGTAAAGACCAGTGTTGGGGAAAGTTAATGTATTACAATATGTGGTACTCCATAAAAAAGTAAGTTACTTAGTTAATTTTTTTTTTTGGAAAGTAATGCATTACATTACTTTTGTGTTACTTTTTGTCACTTAAGCTGGGCTCGCTTATGTTTCTATTAACAAAAAGCCCAAAAGTTATATTTTTGGCAACTGTAAAGGCCCTTTCACACAAAAAATTAAATGTATAATCCTCAGGCTGAAGGAAGTGCCTCTGAAACTCACTCCCAGTTTCCCTCAACATGAGCACAGGAGAGTTGTCAGTCAATAAATGGGAAAACAAAGCAACTGGTGTTACTTATTTGAAAAAGTAACTCCGATATTTTCTTGGAAATTTAAAAGGAATGCAATGCATTACTAGTTTCTTTTAAAAAAGTAATCTGATTACGTGACTTGTTACTTGTAATGCATTGGTAACACTGGTAAAGACATTTATAATGCTTTAAAAGATTTCTATGTCATATAAATGCTGTTCTTTTGAACTTTTTATTCATCAAAGAATCTTGGAAATAAAAATGTTTCCCGGTTTTTCACAAACATATGAAGCAGCACAACTGATTTCAACATTGATAATAATCAGAAATGTTTCTTGAGCAGCAAATCAGTATATTATACTGATTTCTGAAGGATCATGTGACACTGAAGACTGGAGTAATGATGCTGAAAATTCAGCTTCACGTCACAGGAATAAATTACATTTTACAATATAATCAAACAGAAAACAGTTATTTTAAATAGTAATAATATTTCACAATTTTACTGTATTATTAATTAACTAAATGCATTCTTGGTGAGCAGAAGAGACTTCTTTCAAAAACATTTAAAAATCTTATTGACCCTGATTGAACTTTTGCATCCAAGTATTTGCATGGTCCTTTCTGACAACAAATGACATCTTGCATAAACTAAAACATTTGAGAAAACGTGCAGGACGAGCACACATTGAAAGCGACGCCGCATGCACACATGCCTGAGCATCTGCACGCTTGCACGCTCCTGCAGAAAGAGCCAGCTGTCCTGCAGAGGTCAGAGGTCAGGGTCAAGGACAATGCAGGAGCGTGTGTGACTCCTCGGGGGTCTGCTGGGAGGAGCCGAGCGCGGCGGCAGCTGTTTGGAGGAGAGCAAGACGGATGAGTTTGGGATGAACAGAACACGATGCGAGAACAACAGACTGTTTGCATACAAACACGGATAATCTTGTCAAAATGATATTAATTAAACAGTTTCACACAGTTATAGGTGTGGTCAGCACTTAATTGTGCAGAACTTTCTAGTTCGGTTTCTTACTGGTCCAAGTCTCTGATCTTCTGCTCTCTAGATGTGGCTTCAGTGACAATCTGGGAGTTTTTCTGCTGTCATGCATTCCATAATACTCTCATATTCTCATGTCTGTTTACTGAGACGAGGCGAAAGATTGAGTGCGTTTGATGTGGTTTTGGTGTGTGTGTGTGTGTGTGCGTGCGTGTGTGTGTGCGTGTGTGTGTGTGTGTGTGTGTGTGAGATGATTCAGCTGCTCTGATTGACTGCTGCTTTATCTCGTTCCTCTTGTTCAGGCCATCTGGATAGTATGAAGTGAAGGAGATGATGACCTAGAGCACAGATGTCACCATGTGCACCGTGTGGAAATATGTCCGAACATTTTGACACGCACAAAGATTCTGATTAACTGCTAATATAGATTTGTCTAGTTTTAAATAAGTAATCTTGAAGCAGAACGTTGCATTGCTCAGATTTTGGTCTTTAATAGTTAGGAGACAACTTGTCAAATGATGTGTCACATGCATTTTCTAGAATAGGGGCCTTCAAACTGGGGCCCATAGAAATGTTTAGAAAAAAACTGTACAAATACTACAATTTAAAAAACAACAAGGAAAATAAATGAGTAAATAAATTAGATTAAAAAAATTATAAAATGTCTAATATTTTAAAAAATAATAATATATTTTATTATACATATTATTTATATATTTTACAAATTAGAGTATAAAATTGTATAATAAAAGTTTAAAATAAATGAATCAATTAAAATAAACAAAAATTTATTTAAATAAAAATTTGATTAGTAGAGAGAGCATAAATAAAAAAGAAATAAAGAACCCCAACAAAATAAAAATTATATAATAATTTTATAATTTTAATAGATTAAAATAAATTAATAGATTAGAATAAATAATAAAAGTCGATTTAAATAATTTAGATTGGAAACATAGATTTATAATAATTATAAGATTAAAATAAATGAATAGATTAAAATAAATAGGCTAATATGTAAATAATACAACTAGGTTACAATAAGCAAATAAATAATACACAGTAAAGTACTAAACAGGACAGAAAAAACTTAATAGAAACTAAATATTTTCCAAACAATATATTTATCAAATTAATTTTGCATGGAAACCCCCTGTTATAGAATTCCTCTTGTAAAATATACTCAGAAATGATCCAGTAAGACTCTGTATCTTTAAAAAAGAAAGCCGAGAAATGTTTGAGTTCATATTGAGATGTCTAACTATAACTGCAGACAAATCTGAGAAAAGTTGCTGAGCTCTTCTGAATCTTCACGTGATGATTTCTGTTGTCTGTGAGAAATATGCACATATAAACTTCAGCTGCACTCAAATAAGGGCAATCTATTAGTCATCACTTTTCTGGAGTGCTCTTGTTCAGCTGAGCTCGAGAGGAAGCTGCGGAGAGCTCGCGCTGTGAATGCTTCACATATTTGCGGCTTTTCCACCGGAGCGCGGAGAGCGAGATCACGTTCATTGACATATGCAGACTGGAATGAGAGAGAGAGAGAGACAGAGAGAGAGAGAGAGAGAGAGAGAGAGAGAGAGAGAGGGGGGTGACATCTGTAGCTTTGCGAGGTCCGATTCATTCTTGTGAATCGACTCGCTCGGGCGATTCATTTCAATGAACCCTTCAACAACGATTCTTTTGAGCGATCAAGTGTCCCCAGCACGTTTAGGTCATTTTTTCTGTACAAGAACTGCTATTTGGTGCTAATACCCTCAAATGTTTAAGTTAAATTTAAGTAATATTATCGTAAACAAAAATACTGTGGAGAAATCATTACTGCTGACAATGTTATCAACAGTGTTGCTCGTTACTCAAAAAATGTAATTTATTACTCATTACTAGTTACTCCTATCAAAAGTAATAGTATTACATTATTACTTTCTGGCAACAGTACACTATTAGTTACATTGCTTTTCTTTCTTCCCCACAACATTTTTCTAAACGTTAGCCTACTAACAATATATTTCTGCCTCATCATTTCACCAAAATCCACACTAGATCACAGTCAGAAGTTATTAATAACTCACAAGGGTGATTGATAGTGACGTTTAAGTAAAAGTGGTGTATTATCAACAGTAACCAAGTAACGAGCTGTTTTATGGATGGTAACTATCATATTATTAGCCTACTGGAATCGTATTAGTAATTAGTTACACTACTAGTTACTGTAAAAAGTAATGTTATTACTGTAACTAGTCACATGAAAAATACTATAGTAATGTATAGTAACACTCCTATAGTAACACTACTAATACTATACTACTACTATACAACAGTGTTAATGAATGCTACAGTATACTGTAGTATTAGCTATAGTGAACTGATAAACTGTAATGAATACTGTAGTATAAACTTTAGTTTTTACTACAGTAAATTGTAGTGTATTGTAGTATAATATACCCTATAGTTGTAGAAAACTCAGTACAGTATTGGGTAAAGTAATTTGTTTATATTACTATAGTTGTTATATTACCACAGTAACTATAGAATTACCACAACAAATTAATTCAAGTACTTTACTATAGTATGGTTCAAAAACACTATAGTATGTTACTATAGTAGCCTATTTTTTCATGTAGTAGCCTAACTAGTTACTGGTTATCGAGGATTAACATATAAAAAAGGATACTTTGCGTCAAGTAGCGACGTTTATTGACAAGCAATAAAAAGCCTGTAGCTAGGTAGGCTAATAAATTATATCGTTTATACTTGTTTTTTCCAATTATTACCACTGTTACTAGCGCGTCCCTTCGAGCGCCAAAAAAGCTTCGCGAATCGGATCGAAAGAATCGGTTCAAACTAAAGATTCGTTCGCGAATATCAGTCGACATCTGCGAGGCTTGCGCCACTCTCGAAGACTGCGCTTGCGGGTTTGCTGGACGAGTGACTGAGCGAGCGTTAAACACGGTAAACGGTGAACGAGACACGAGTCCGATGCGTCCCCGTTTGACCTGCACGCGGTGAGCTCCTGCTGCGCTGTTGACCTTTAGTTTATCAGCCAGTCTAGTGGAGTCCTATAGAGAGAACACGACTGGACTTAACGCTAAACACTTGTGTTTATGTATGACTGTGTGTGGTGAATTATGTGTATTTACTTGCTATAGGAATTGCAATGTATTGAGTGTCTCAAATATGTTCTATTGTCTTAAATGTATTGAAGTAAAGCATGCAGGATTTAAACGCTACTAAACCACGTTAACGTTACGCTACAGACTCTGAACGCGATGAAACTCGATCCGTTGCGCGCTAGTTCCTGCAGATGGTCAGGTGCGGGTTAATACTAGCAGTCAGTCTTCAGAGATTGTCTTCTCGTTGCTTGTCGCTTTACTTGAGAGAGTTTTGAAAGCTTTCATTTTACTGCAAGTCTTCTCAAGTTTCACTTTGAGCTGATGTGATGTGGGCGTGCAGCGCTAAATGTCACGGCTTCAGTTTAGAAATAGTGTAGTTGTGTGCAGTGTTGGGGGTAACGCATTACAAGTAACGCGAGTTGCGTAATCAGATTACTTTTTCAAGTAACTAGTAAAGTAATGCATTACTTTTTAATTTACAAGAGAATATCTGAGTTACTTTTTCAAATAAGTAACGCAAGTTACTTTTTTTTTCAATTTATTGATTGACAGCTCTCTAAATATACACGCATTTAACAGATTAAGTTATGCGAAAATAAGACCTTTTGGTTCATTTTTGCACGTCTGCTCAGTGTCGTCTAATGCAAACCTCATACAGGCCTATGTGCACATTATATGATATCAGTTAAAGGGGTCATATGATGCTGCTAAAAAGAACATTATTTTGTGTATTTGGTGTAATGAAATGTGTTTATGCGGTTTAAAGTTAAAAAACACATTATTTTCCACATACTGTACATTATTGTTTCTCCTCTATGCCCCGCCTTTTTGAAACGCGTCGATTCAACAATACTACAGGCGACAATAAAAGTTACGCCTTCTTTTTTTGCGTGAACATTTGGGCGCGTTATGCAAATCTTCCCACATAGTGAGGTAGATATGTGGGGGCGTGTTCGAACGAGCCGTTTTAGGTAGGTGTGGCTAACTCTTAACTTTTATAAAGAATATCTCTTTGGATTTGAGACTTTAGTCTTTGCAAATTTACAGATCTTCTTTATGCACCAAGAGCTTGTAACACTCCAAAGAGAAAGGAAAAAATGAAATTGCATCATATGACCCCTTTAACATATCACTCTCAAGACATAAAAGTTCTAGAATTTACGTATGTTCAATAATCCAGTAAGTTATTGTGCATTGTGTGACTCGGGCATTATTTGTCCAGCTCTAGCTGTTGTTCACATGAACACATGATTGTTGGTCCTTTAGTGGTACAAACTATTAACCATAACTACTAACTAATCAGTTCAAGGGAGGAAGTGAGGCAACAAAGCGAGTGCTCTGGTTTACAGTAATCACAGAGTCCAGAGAGAAGAGAGTCAGATGTGTGGTCACGAGCCGTCACTGGTGACTGATTGTCTTTGATGGAAATTGACTGAGTGGAAAGTACTGTGTATCTGGCTATTCTACAAAGACCTTTCATGTTATGTCGTCTCCTGTTTCTTATCAAAAAATAGAGGAACTAGCCCTTTAAAAGGTTCATTTGAGCAGAATTCTGTTAAATTTATTTTTGCTACTTTTTTATATTCAAAATGTTAATATAGGAACTAAAAATAAAATGTAAATTTTTAAGTAAAATATTTTAAATATATAGTACTTTAATTACATTAAATTTTATTCATTGAAGTAAAGATAATATAAAAATAAACGATTCAGTTAATTTTATTTTTATATTCAAAATGTTATTATAGAAAACATTTAAAATAAAATACACATTTTAACGTTTTTTCCAAGAATATTTTCACTAATTTGTCATTTTACTACATTCCATTTTATTCATTAAAATTTAATTTTTAAGATAATATTAAAATGAATACTTAACAATAATTCAGTTAACTTTATTACATCTGTTTACTTTTTTAAATATTTAAAATGTTAATATAGAAGATGCCTAAAATCTAAAAACTTGAAAAATCATGAAATGTAATGATATTAATATTTCATTCTTTTTAAAAATTATTTTATTACTTTAATGTTTAAATAAAATATTTAAAATTTTACTGCAGATTTGAAATAAAAATATATATATGCGACCCTGGAGCACAAAAGCAGTCTTAAGTCGCTGGGGTATATTTGTAGCAATAGCCAAAAATACATTGTATGGGTCAAAATGATAGATTTTTCTTTTATGCCAAAAATCATTAGGATATTAAGTAAAGATCATGTTCCATGAAGATATTTTGTAAATTTCCTACCGTAGATATATAAAAACTTAATTTTTGATTAGTAATATGCATTGCTAAGAACTTCATTTGGACAACTTTAAAGGCGATTTTCTCAATATTTAGATTTTTTTGCACCCTCAGATTCCAGATTTTCAAATAGTTGTATCTCGGCCAAATATTGTCCTATCCTAACAAACCATACATCAATGGAAAGCTTATTTATTCAGCTTTCAGATGATGTATACATCTCAATTTAAAAAAATTGACCCTTATGACTGGTTTTGAGGTCCAGGGTCACATATCAGAAATATTTTAAAATATAATCTTAAATTAGAAATTAAAAATCTTATAAATATAATGTGCTTTGCTTCATTTCTGTGCGTTTCTCTCTCAGATATACGCTACATGTTGGGTAAAGGCCTGAAGCGGAAGCTGGAGCAGGAGGAAGAGAATGGCGTGATGAAGATGAGCTGCCCTCAGGAGGCGTCACCCGCCTGCTACTGGCTCCAGCGGCAGACCGTGCTCAACCTCTCGCTGCTGAAGCTGCACAGCCGTCCGGGACACTCGGAGCCGGGCCTGGCCCGCAGGGTGCTCATCACCAACACACTCCGGCGCATCCAGGACATCCCTGCACCCCAGTCCTTCCCCAACGGGGTCCAGTCCCATAGTGAGGGCAGTTTGACGCCTGTGTCGCGGTTGGAGGAGGACAGACATCTGTTTCTCTGTCTGTCTCCATCCATTTCCAAACAGCAGCCCCCATCATCCTCCGTTATTAAAGACAGCTTCACCTCAGCACTGGCTGAAATTGAAGATCTGTGCCCGACTGTGGGAATAACTACTTTATTTTCTACGGAGACGGGCCGCTCGCTCGCATCAGACCTAAATTCAGTTGAATCCAGGCATACAGACCCAGATCTTTCTGAAATGAACAGCGGTATGGACTCAGCATCATCTCTCTCGGACTCCGCCCAGTCAGTGTTTGGCCACACCCCCTCACTCCTCGCCGATTTCTCATTGGACGATTTCCTGTTCACGGAAATAGACAGCTTGCTGTTCGATAACGTCCCCTGCGGTTCGTCCCTGAGCGGGAGCTCGGGTGCGTCAAAAGTCGTTTCCATGGTAACGGATGACCTCGTCATGACGCTCGCTGGTTACGGTAACGGCGGGACGAGCCAATCGGCGCTTCCATCTAATCAGACTTTCAAACTGGATCTGAACGAACTGGATCACATCATGGAGGTTTTGGTTGGGTCGTAATTTGATGAGCAAAACGTTTGAATTTGTACTGAATATTAAGGTAAATTTTTACAGTTTTTTTGTATCATGGTATGTAGACCAAATATGCATATGTGTGTATATTTATTTTGATACAGTATCAAAAGGCGCACAATACATTGATGTAATATATTGCAACCATTTTATGCTATATCAATATTTTTCTTGTGGAAATTTCATATGAATTGTTATTTTTAGTATTTAAATTTTTTTTTAATAAAAATAAATAAACTGGCATTCAGTTTGTCCTTTTAAAACAGACATGAATGAAGACACACAAAAACAGCATTTTCTCAAATTATTTTAATTTCTTGTGTACACTTAAAGAAAATTTACACACTTGTTTGTTTTTAAAGAACCTGGGCATGCGCGATTGACCTCGGTACAGGCTCTTTAGAGATATCATTCATCTGTATGAGTTTTCCATAGGAATTTTCCCATAACAATTTTTACATGTTCCATAGTTTGACTGTACACAGTCCGAAGCCACAGTTAACTATGTAAGCAGTTCTTCTGTATATCTTTACAATGTGCAAAATCCTCCAGGAGACAGAATAAAACAGCGACACAACTGAAAAAAAAAAAAAACGAGACAAAAAAAGCCAAAAGGTGAGAAAACTCGTTTCTGGCGAACATTTCCCATCATGCACTCCTGGCGTACAGGACCGCAGTGACGGCAGACGTCCTCCAAAAGAGTCGCTTAAGATTGATCAGAGTAAATAAAACACAGATACAGAATGACCAAAACACAATGATAACAGGTAAATGAGCAAAACGATACAGCAGATATTGGTCCCTTATTCTCGATACATATATATATATATATATATTCAAGTTGATCATTCATTCAACAATTCCTTCACTACAGTATAGTCCAAAGCCAGTGGTTTCAACTTACATTAAAAAAATAATAATAAACAAAATAAGAACTGAAAAACATGAGCAGCTAATGCACAGACGTGGTTTCTATAGTTGTTGATGGACTCTGTCTGCAGTCTGTCAGTGTGGAAAGCGAGTTAATTGTTAAACTATTTGCACAACAAAAGGATAAAGTGTTCACTAACGCCTGTGCGAAATCAAATCACCTAAAACCTACAAGTAATAACAATATTGATTGTAATGTAATAGCCAAAACGATTAAAAACTAAGGCCTTTGTTACGCAAAATCGAAAGAAAATTTTGCAGGCGGTTTGGTTTCAAGTCGATATAACTACGCATTTATATATCTAAATACAAATCAGATCATTCACATCATCATTTGTGCCAATGAAGGACTTTTAAGCCAGTGTTTCATAAAAACAAACGACCTGAAAATAACAAAGTGCCTCTTTCTCTCTCTCATACAGACTATCTTAACTGTGAAGAATACTCAAAACGAAATCATCCCTGATTATATACAGATTGGCTCTAATATAAACACAAACTCTTTTCTTACTCTCATCCTACAAATAAAATGATCTAGTCTTTTCTCCTCTAAAGCGATCGATCATTAGTCGATTATCTCATCCACTCTCTCTAACGTAGACAATGTTTTTGAACTTAAAAATGCCCAGGTACATGACAAACAGGAGCTAGAAAACCAAAAGGATGAAATTAAAATCATAACTGTCCGTTTCGTGAAAAGCTGCAGAGCGATACACAGAGAAAGAGGTGAAACGGCGCGGAGGAGAGGACCGCGTCAGTCGGGCGTGGGAGAGGGCGAGGAGGAGGGGAGGAGAGGAGTCAGCGTGGAGGGGAACATGAGGACTTTAGCCTGCATGAACGACAGATCCGGCAGACCTGAGATCACTCGCCGAGCCTCTTCGCTCAGATTCTCCTCCTTCTGCACAGGCTTTCTGCTGAGAGAGATCAGACCGGTCAGAGAGAGAGATCAGACAAAATCACATCAGAGAGAAACATTTAAAACAGAAATCAAACCAACTAGAAAGAGATCAGACATATCAGAGTAAGAGATCAGACAAAATTGACAAAGAGTTCAGAACAAGAGATCAGACATATCAGAGTAAGAGATCAGACAAAATTGACAAAGAGTTCAGAACAAGAGATCAGACATAGATCAGACAGAATAGACAGACAGATCAGAACAAGAGATCAGACATAGATCAGACAGAATAGGCAGAGATCAAACAGATCAGAGAAAAAGATCAGACAGAATAGACAGAGAGATCAGAATAAGACATCAGACATAGATCAGACAAAATAGACAGCGATCAGAATAAGAGATCAGGCATAGATCAGACAGAATATACATAGATCAGACAGAATAGACAGAGATCAGACAGAATAGACAGAGATCAGAAAGAATAGACAGAGATCAGACAGAATAGACAGAGAGATCAGAACAAGATATCAGACAGAATAGACAGAGAGATCAGAACAAGAGATCAGACAGAATATACAGAGATCAGACAGATCAGAGAAAGAGATCAGACAGAATAGACAGAGAGATCAGAACAAAAGATCCAACATAGATCAGACAGAATATGTGTTTTGTTGTTTGATTAACATTCACGACACAGAAAGCAACAGGAACATTAAACTGCTGTGAACCAATATACTATTACACATCCATTTTCTTTCTCAATTGTTTACCTTTACCTAAGCCATAAGCAACTGTGTTTACAAGGATACTTGCAGAGACATGCATTTTGACAATTTCGTGCGTATGTGTCATTTCAGGCACAAATAGACGCGGAAGTGAACAGAATTCAGTGTTCACGTGCATCTGCGTGACTCTCACCGTGTCTACACCGGACGCGAGCGGTGCAACGCGACAAAATACAATAGAACCCATTATAATCAGTGATGCTGTGCGACTGACTACACTGGATGCGGCACGACACGACAAATCCCTGACAGTAAACTGATGCCTCGTTCAGAACAAGTGATCAGATCAGAGACAGAGAGATCAGACTGATTTAAAAGAGAGATCAGACAGATCAGAGAGGAAGATCAGAGAGACAAGAAAAAAGATCAGAGAAAGATATCAGAGTGAACAATCACATAAGACCGATCAAAAAAAAACATCAGATAACTTCAGAACAGCTTTTCTGCATAAAAAATTTATTTTGTTTTTTGCATTACATTAGTGACAAATCAGTAGCTACCACAATTTATAACATCCATTTCTTGACTTATTGTTTGATCAGACTTAGAAAAGTTGGAACAAAAATGCAAAATAACCATATTTTTCTAAGGGTAATCAATGAACGCCAATCATTAAATGAACTAATAAACCTAGTACCACACTAAAATTATTATTTTTTTTTTTTAAACAGTATGAGCAGCACGATAGAAGTACGCAGTATGTACTAATAAAGGTTTCAAACAGTAGTAAATAGCAATGGCTTACGTCCAGTTATCCCATTAAAAATGGTTATTTTGCATTTTTATTAAATTCTGTGTAAAAACATCTAACCTTTGACAGTCGGATCAAATAATGAGTCCATGCCTACAGAAAACCTGCTGTTCTGAACTCATCAGGAACTGTCGTGTGGCTCCTCCTGGTGGCCCAGCAGCAGTACTGTGAATGAGTGAGGCTCACTGACCTGGTGGAGGTGCTGGTCTTCTCGACGGTTGACATGAGGCGAGCGAACGCATCCACAACTCCACTGCTGCCTCCGCTGACATCCAACTTCGCTTGGGTCAACTCGTACAGCTCCGGGTCCACGCCTGCACATGCACGTCAGCACACTTGTGATACGCCAGCGCATGCACGCATGCAACAATGATCGTTTGAATGCACGGTTAAAGATATAGATGCAAATAGAGCAGAAATCAAGAACACACAGACAGCTTTGGTGTTAAACTGGAAATGCTTCAGCAAACCTGGTATGGAGGTGGCCGTGCCGGAGGGCGACTCATCCACAGGGCCGAAAAAATCGAGGTTGAGCAGAGAGGAGCCTCCACTCGCTTTAGAACGAGGGATGGTGAAAGAGGAGAGAAGGGTTACGGACAGAGAGAAAGAGAACACAGGAAAGCAGAAGTTGACATATGCTCAGGTCTGGATTAGTGATGAAACTACGTGACTGGATTAGTGCTGGTTTCTGTTAGCGAGAAGCAAGAAGAGTACACGAGCATCCAACATAAACGTGGAGACGGTTACTGTGCAACTGTTGATCAAGCGTTTAGTTTTCACGACACGAGGCACGTTTCCATATATTTGAGAATGAGGAGCTTGTTTCTCCATTTTTCTCTGCGTTGCTCCTCCTCAAGAAACTATTGATCGGTCTTACCGTCCAGAGGGTTTGTAAGGCCACTGCTGCTCCAGTCAAACTGAACGGGAGGAAGAGACTCCTGACGACAGAAAAAGAGCCCAGATATCACATTTTACAAAGTAATGCAAAAAATTATAATTAAGAATCTTAATGAAAAAAGTTGTTCTATTTAGTTGTCTGTATGATACTTTTGTTTGTGTGACAATTGTTTTTTTTTTAATGTGCAGGACTAGGTTTATTATTTAATTAATGATTGCCGCCCAGTTATTACCCTTAGAAATATAGTTGTAACTTTTTTAAGGTCTGTTATAAACTGTGGTAACTACTGATTTGAGATGCTTTGTCACAAAAGTATTGTAAAAAACCTTCCTAAAAAAAACACTGTTCTAATGTTAAAGTTTTGACATTTTCCAGATCAGTCTTACCTGACTAATATCTTTCTCTCACAAAAAGACCAAAGGTTGTGCTTCAAATAATAGCCTAATTATCCATCACTTTGTCAGACTGGCATGTTAAATGACCATCGTGGTCTATTTATCTCTATCATTCTTGTTTTTATTTTTTCTAATTATTATATATATATATATAATATGAAATTTAATTCATTTACATTTATAATAATCATTAACTGGCCTTTGGTAAATAAGTCAAATTTATATTTTGCAATGATGCAAGCAATCGAGCAGTTGAGATTTACTATCTTGTTTTTATTTTTTCTAATTATTATATATATATATATAATATGAAATTTAATTAATTTACATTTATAATAATCATTAACTGGCCTTTGGTAAATAAGTCAAATTTATATTTTGC